ACAGGAACATGGTATTTTTACCAGAGCTTGCAGGTTAATACTTGTCATGACATACAACTTTTTTCTACATGCGGCATTTATTTGATGTATGGATAAGCTAAACGATTTTTGAATGTTTCCTGAAACTTCTCACATTTGCTTTTGCCTTCACACTGTGTACATATTTCCGTTCCGACATGGATGTCAACTGAGCTCCGGGCAATACTATATTTTTCATCGAACAGTCACACGTTTTTCTTTTGGGCAGAGTCAATTTTCATACACACACGCACACACGCAAAAACACATGCAATTATTTTCAGTACAAAAACCAACGCAAGGAAGAATCCAATCCAAAATTTATACTAAAAATCGCAACGTAAACGGAAACGGAACCGGAAAAACGGGTAATCGCTAGAAACAACAAAAAGTCAACGAGATAAAGATTTAGCGGCGGGGTAGCATGAAAATGAATCGTACACGCTTCAATCATATGAGGCACGAGCGCGAAAATGATGGACTGCCGCAGGTCCTCCAAGTGCCCCTCTCGGTTAGCCCCCAAATGGGTAATGCGTTGAACGCACTGCGCAAAACGACATTCACCAGAACGGAGCTCATGCAGCGGCCCCCAATGGGTAAGTTGGTGGATGTACAATATAGAAATGGCTAGAAAATTTGCCCCCTGCTATGTCCGTTCGTCTGTCTGTTACACGAGTCGTCCTACACAGCCAAAGACCTTGTATGTGGCATCTTTGGTTCTTATATCCCAGCTTAAGTTTCTCCGCTCAGTTTTTCCTAGCTTATTTTCGATTTGATGCCTTGATTTCGCAGGGATTTTTAAGAGTATAGCCGCAGTTTTAGGTTGATCTTGGAACTACCAAAAATTTAAAATATTAAGTAAATAATTTCTATTCAAAGCGATTTTATATATTTTGGCTTTTCGATTTTCATAATATCGATAAATATCGATTTTGATATATTGTTTTGTATAAGCATAACTCGAGAGCTAATGAAGCTATATACGTCAAACTATGTGGGTGCTTGCTTGTTTCACTTATTGGAAACGTTTACCCATGATTTATGATCTGAGATTTTGTAAATGCATACTTGCGTTTCTCATGGTATGGGGTTGGGGGACAGGAATTGTGTGTAGATGGAAGTTAGAATCTTTTAGGGAAGCTAGAATATCTATTTTTATCTATCTCTATTTCTATCTCTATCTCTATCTCTATCTCTATCTCTATCCTCTATCCTCTATCCTCTATCCTCTATCCTCTATCCTCTATCCTCTATCCTCTATCCTCTATCCTCTATCCTCTATCCTCTATCCTCTATCCTCTATCCTCTATCCTCTATCCTCTATCCTCTATCCTCTATCCTCTATCCTCTATCCTCTATCCTCTATCCTCTATCCTCTATCCTCTATCCTCTATCCTCTATCCTCTATCCTCTATCCTCTATCCTCTATCCTCTATCCTCTATCCTCTATCCTCTATCCTCTATCCTCTATCCTCTATCCTCTATCCTCTATCCTCTATCCTCTATCCTCTATCCTCTATCCTCTATCCTCTATCCTCTATCCTCTATCCTCTATCCTCTATCCTCTATCCTCTATCCTCTATCCTCTATCCTCTATCCTCTCTGATCTATCCTCTATCCTCTATCCTCTATCCTCTATCCTCTATCCTCTATCCTCTATCCTCTATCCTCTATCCTCTATCTCTCCCTTTACCACTCCCTCTCACTCTATCTATCTCTATCTCCATCTCTCTCTATCATTCTCATTCTGCTGCGACTGCTGCTTAGCTACTGGCACTAATCGCTCAAAACGCCTTACGAATTTGAATACTGTGAACCGACCGCTGAGCAATGGGACAACTGCCTCAGCTGAGGTGAATGCCAATCGACGCATGGGCGGCACACGTGGTCACTTTTTGCCGCGCGTGGCTAAGCTGGCGGGCAACAACAATAGCAACGTCAACAACAACGGTAGTAACTTTAACAGCAGCAACATGCCAAAGTCGTTATTGACACGCAGCAAATCGCCGTTCAAAAAGAAGCCCAAGAGCAGCCACCATTTGACCGGCGGCTGTGACCACAGCGTCGAGAAGTCAGCGAAGCCACAACAGCATCAGCTGTATCAGCAGAAGCACAAGCAGCTCGAGCTGGAGCTGGAGCTGGAGCAGGAGCAGGAACACCCGCTGGAACTGAGCAGCATTGTGACCGGCAATGGAATTGTGAAAAACTGCAACAGCAGCAACAGCAGCAGCAGCAGCAGTAGCCTCATGAGCAGCTGCTGCCTGAGCAACAGCAGCAGCGAGCTTCGCAAGATTAAGCTGGCCAAGGCGTTCCGTTTGCCGGACGAGCAGAACAAGAGCTTCGTCTATCTGTGTAAGCCAGTGAAAAAGGTCAAGGAGTTGCTGATGGTGCGACCGTTGCGCAACAGCGTCGACAATGTGGACCAGCAGCAGCTGCAGGTGGCCGATGATGGCACCGATGAGAATCTCGATGTGGAGCTCGCTGACAGTGATTCGTTTAGCTGCTGCAGCAGCACTCATCAGCTGGAGGCGGCGGGCGGCAATCAGTGTGAGCTGGAGACACAGCTGCTGGATGTGCGCCAGCGGCAGCAGCAGCTGCTGTTGCTGACCGAGCGTGCGCTACGGCCGCAGGCCATATCCGACCAGGAACTGGAGCGTGAGCGGGAACGGGAACGGGACCGACAGCAGGAGCAACAACGTCAGCTGCATCTGGTACAAAATTCACAGGCAGAGAAGCAGCGCAAACTGGAAATGGAAATGGTCTGGCAGAATATACCGACGCTGCAGCGCGAAATTAAGCTACTGCAGCAGCTCGGCGAGAAACTGGAGGCAACGCTGCGCGCCAACAATCCGACAACAACGCCGCGCCAAGGCATCACCAGCTATGAATCCAATAGCATCTTCTATACGCCGCGCTCGACGCTCACACTGAACGGCTACGAGGCGCTGCCCATTGTCTACTTCGGATGCCGTCGCGTGGAGCATTTGGCTGCGATGTGGCAATGCGCCCGCATCAATTACCATGCCCGTTGCTTTGGCTGTGTGCGCGAATATCGCATCGAAACGAAGACCCTGACCGAGCTGAAGACCGCCGATGAGATGCAGTGCTTCTATATGCCGCTGGCCGAGGGCGGCGGCCTGCAGCGCACCTCGTTCCGGATGCTGCGCGAGAATCCGAATGTGCTGCTGCAGCAGCTGCGGCCATTGACGCCGGCGCGTCCCTTCAATTTGCTCGAACAGGATGCCATGTTCTTCCATAGCATGGTCAGCTATGGTGAGCCGCAGCTGGGCGGCTGCCAAATGGCGCCGGTCATAGATAAGCTGGTGCCGGCCCGAGAAACGGGCGGCGGCAACAGCCAGCTGCCATTTGGCCAGCTGCCATTTAGCCTGACGCCCTATACACGGCTCTCGGTGCGTTCGCCAGGGCTCAAGGAGGCCATCAATTGGTCCAGTGCTGATGTCGAGCGTTTGCTATTGCCCGCGGTCAAGTGTGAGCCGGCCAACAGTTTGAAACTGAAGCAAAAGTCGGAGCCGGAGCCGAGGGCCAGCTCCTCGCACAGCTCGCTGGGCAATGTGGCCAGCATTAAGTGCGCCAATCTGTCGCGCTGGAAGCGTCCCAAGCCAAAGCCCATGCAGACCATGCTGGCCAAACGTAGCACGCATCCGCGCCGGGTGGCGCCGCTCAAATCGAACGGTACGGAGCTGGAGCCAAGGGTCCAGACGCAACTGCTCAAGACCGTGCTGGTCGGCATTGTGCAAGTGGCCGTCTTTCTGGTGCTCATCATGGCCTTCACCTATCCGGATATACGCTGCTGAGGCACAGACGACCAGCCAGGCGGACAGGCTGCGCAGCGGTTTCCATCTGTGCTCGCACCCAAATGTATTTATCCCATTTTCATTTTTTTTTTTCTTCTGTCTTTGCAATTTTGTGCGAGGGGGTGGCGCAACAAGTGCGCCGGGGTGTAGGGTTGCAGGGGTCCAGGGGTTGCAGGGTGAAGGTTGCGGATTATAGATTGCGGTGTGCGGAGTATTTAGGTGCAGGCTGGGTTTATCTCATCTTCCTGCCCCCGCCCCTTTGAACGTGTGCGCTTTATTTATTTTCTGGTTTGTAATTTGTTTTCCTAATGTTTAATATGTGACTTGATTTGTCGGTTAGCCCCCACCGAGGCTATGGGTCAAAGGTCAAGGGCCGAATGTTAATAAAATTTCATGTGTAATTGAAGTATTCAATGTAAACATCTAATCCCTTAGCACCAACAGCACACTAGGCAAGCTCTTCTACGTAAAAAGCAACTAAGAAGGTTGAAAAATGCCTTTAAAATCATTTGAAAGAAAAATCGCTCGATTGTGCTTTCAAATTTACTTCCCCGAAAACAATCGTAGGTAATCCTACGGCCCATTTGTTCAGCTTGATTATAAGTTGAGCCGTTTCATTTTGGAAATATTCTAAAATTTACAGCAAAAAATCGTTTAGTAAGCCTTGGCCTCATAAATAAAAACTAGCCTAGAAGAATGGCTAAAGATATTTGAATTTGTTAAAGCCCGAAAAACCTTCGCCTCACACTTTATTTGAAATTTGAAAAAGAAAACCTAAAAATTGATCTTTTTTATGCTCATCCCTAGAAAACTGGCAACGTTTTGACAATTTCCTTTGCAATTCGAATCGGTTATAACCGTTTCGCTTAAGTAAACTAATTATATGGAATATTTATTAAGCACTTAACCGTTTCGGTGCAAAACCAAAATAGTTTTTTAAGCAACCCAATAAACAGCTGGCAACTCTATTCTTTTTTTTTTAACCGTTTCGCTTTAGACAAAAACAGCTATATAAAACGAGTTATATAAGTTTTAGATATTTAAATTTATTTTAAGCATTTTCTTTATATACAGCTTATATATATATATATATATTTAAGTGTGTCTGTGTGTGTTTGTGTGTGTGTGTGTATGTGTGTATGTGTGCGTGTGTGCGCGTTAGCGTGTGTGTGCGAGTGCAACCAAAACCCGTTTTGCATCTTACATCTACAGTTTACAGTTGACCTTTACCCGTTTCGTGTAGACCTTGTGCTGCGCTGCTTTAGCTAGAAAAACTTTTGTGTATCGGGTAAGCGGATTTTAGCGTTTTTTTTTAAATTGTTTTTAGCGGGTAAGCGGTTAAGCGGTTGGTGGCTTGCGTTTGCGCGCATGCCGCGTGGCATTGCTAAATGGAAATGCGAAGCAAAAGTTAGAAATGCGTTTTCAATTGGGAAATTATACAAATTTGAAATTGAAACGGTTAAAGAAGCGGAAACAGTTAACGATAGTGATTGCAGTAAAGAAGTAGCAAGAGATGCGAAATGAAATTGTAGAAAGAAATAAGAAGTAGCTACAGTTTCTGCTGAAAATTTGGGATCAGAACTAGTTGAAGAAAGAAGATGAAAAACTAAAGAGTACCGAATCGGTTAAGGTCTTAATCACTGTAATCAAAGCGAATAGCTTAGGACTTGGATAAGTCAGCTGCGTTTGAACGATTAGTAAATCGGGTAAATCGAATAGCAATAGAAACTATAAAATTGACACTAAAAGGAACTACGAAAATGAAGCATTTAAGAATGTAGTAAAAGTCGTACAGCAAAGTAGATAAGTATTTAGCAGTATATGAGAAAAATAGTAGTAAATCGGTTAAAAAGGTATTAGTAAAAATAACTTATGTAATTTAATGTTAATCGGTTAGGAACTGCTATAAGTAATGCATAGCAGCAGCCCTGACCATGGTTTTTGATACGATTACCAACCGATCTTTAATCGATCTATGTCACTTGAGCAATAGATCTTGAACCGGCTATGAACCGGTTATCAATAGCTTGATTGGTTAACGCCAAATTGAGGACCGGCTATGAATCGGTTAGCGATAACTCGTGAACCATTTATAAGCGGTTACCTTTGGCATTTTGAACCGGTAATCGGCTTTTGATAAACCAGTTAACGATAAATTGTTAGCCGGTTATGGATAGGTCGTGAATCGGCTATTAGCGGATAACATGGATTTGTGAATCGGCTATTGATATTAAGGGAACCGTTCATATCGATATCGATAGCTGGTAAATAAGCTATAGCCCAGTTATCGATAGCTTGTGAACCGGCTATGATCGGAAATCGTTAGCTGTGAATCGGTTATAAATCTGTATCAAAAGCTCTTGATCCAGATGTAAATCGGTCATCGGCAGCTTATAAAACGGTTATAAATCGGCTAGAACAACCGAGAATGAGTTTGCCCAAAACACTTACCGCACAATCAGTGGGAACACATTGTTATCGTCGGGTGCCCGATAATCACGATAGTACAGCAAATACGGGGATCTATTGTTGACAAAAATGGGCGGTACGCCGCCGCCTGTATTGGAAATGATGGCAATGTCCGCGCAGTTGCGGAACGTTTCTGGAAAAGAATCAGGAATAGGCTCAACCGATTAGAACAGGACTACGAAATCTTTGGCGCGCGGAACATACCCGCCTTGCCGCAGCCGACGGCTTCGGTGCCATTGGAACAGGTGCCCCACATGTTGGCCGTGTAGTAGGTCCATTGGAGGACGCACTGGGTGCATGTGACATAGGCTGGCAGGCGGACGCTATAGCGAAAGATGTCCTTCTTCTTGGTGTTGCGCGGAATAAGGTATCGATGCTCCCGACTGCCCGAAATGAACAATGGATAGCGATCGAAACACTCCTGGGTGGCCTCCTGTCGGGGATTATTATTGGGGCACAGATACATCTCAAAGCGGCCATAATGATTGGCCGTTAGTTCCACCTCAACGTCAATCTCCTGGCCGGCGGTATAGTAGCGCGATATGATGCCCTTGGCATACTCGCCGCCCGCCTCGTGCGGTCGCGGCGATTTCACGTGGTAGGCATCACCGCAAACGCCGCAGCGACCGCTGTTCTGCTCCCACTGGACCGCATAGCCGCCGCAGAAGAGCTCGTTGTCATTGTAGTTGACCGGATTGGGATAGCCAAAGCGCCACATGGCATTCCGTGCCGGCGGATCCATCAGCCTGCCATGGCCCAGCACCACAGGCAACAGCATCGCCTGTCAATTGTTGCGGTTACTTGTGGTTCTCTCTATCTTCTTCTCGCTCTCCTTTCGTTCAGCTCAACTCACCAATCCAACTAGAATTGTGTACATCTTTCCACTGGGACCCGTCGACTGGCCGCGCATCTGCACAGGGCAAAGGAGACAGTTAACAGACGGCGCATAAATTTGAATGCATTTGCTGCCCAAAACGGGTTTGCTAACGTTCACAATGGGTTCAAACATCGCTTATTAAATATTATATAAATTGCACATTTATAAAATATGGTTAAGCGTTTTTCAATTGATCGTCAAAATTGAGATTTAGTTGAAAAATAACGTGAATGCATTTTTATTTAAGTATTATTTTATATTAATTTATATGATATTTTATATTTATTTTATTTTATATTTTATATATTATATACATACTAAGTCTAAGTATGTCAAGACTAATCGGAAGATTAAGGCACTTTTAAAGATCGATATTTATCGAGGTTAAGAATACATTTCGTATCGATAGCCCACTGATAGCTTATGACGAAGTCTCAATTTATATTTATCAAAAGCTTCAAATTAAGGTTTTCTTAGAAACCGATATTTGTCGAAGTTGGAATAATTTGGTATATGACAAATAATATGATATTACAATTATTATTATTATTACATTTCCCTACATTTATCTATATTTATGGACCCAACTAATCAAGGACTCAACTCTTAACTGCTTTCCGACTTCTTCCACCACACACGATTGGGTAAATGGATTGGGTTCTATATAAAATTATTGACAATATATAAATTATGTTAAAAAAAAGAGGGAGGCCCTAGAAAATATGGGATATTGAATATATATATATATATAAAAGCACAACTTGTACTTTACTATATATATTACAATAGTTATATATTGTTGATTTTGAAAGTAATTTCAAAGAAATAACTTTATTTTGCTTGAGTACATTCTCTATATAGCATCATATATTGGTCTAATTAGGTTATGATATATTAATTTCGTTCTTTGAGGCACGTTATCGTATTATAGGAAACTATAATTGTTGAAGCCCCATCCCTATTGTAACTCATTATATCTAGAGCATGGAGCCAATCGCTCAAGTGAAGAATCTAGCCATACCGATATCATACTGTTCAAACATGTATATATCTTATAGGAATATTTGACTGCATTTGATTCATTTTTCGCATTTTTGCTTAATTCTTGGCGTTTTTATCCCACTGTGTCAAAGCGTCCCGGTATCAACTGGCAAGGACATCCACCTGATCAACCTCTTTTCATTCTCTTTTTTTTTTTTTTTTGCCTTCTCAGTTTTACGGCTGTTTTTCGCTTTTGGTTTAGCTTTTGATGTTGCAGCATGTTTCGCGCGCCTGTCACGGGGGGCAAAAACTGTCAATGCCTGCGATCTGTTTATATTTTTATTTTAATTAAGTATTTCTTAAAGCATTTTTATACCCTGAACCCATTTAAAATGGGTATAAGGGTATATTGTATTTGTGCAAAATCCAAATGTATATAACAGACAGAAGGAAGCATCTCCGACCCCATAAAGTATATATATTCTTGATCAGCATCAAAAGCCGAGTCGATGTAGCCATCTCCGTCTGTCTGTCCGTCTGTCTGTCCGTCTGTCTGTCCGTCTGTCCGTCCGTCCGTCCGTCCGTATGTATGAACGCAAGGATCTCAGAACCTATAAGAACTAGAGACTTTTAGATGTAGGTGCTCCTAGTTCCCGCGCAGATCGAGTTTGTTTCCGATAATCGATAACTTACTCCGTTTCCAAGCAATCGATAAAAATCGATATCGTGTTTTTTGGGCAATTTTGGTAAATAATAAGAGCTAGAGTCACCAAACTTGACATTTAGCTTCTAAAATAGAAATAGAAGAGGGTTCAGGGTATCCCCTAGACGGAGCTCCCGACTGGAACCTCTTACTTGTTTTTTAATGCACTCGACACATTGCGCATGGGCTGAAAGGGTATTATGCTTTTGATATATTTATGTGATATATTAATATATATTCTTAAGCAAGAAGACGAGCTGAGTCGAGCTAGTCATGTCTGTCTATGGAAATTTCAAATGGAGCTTATTTTCATATTTGTGGTCATGCTTTTTTGGCATAGCTCGAGAGTTATGAGAGTTAGATACATCTAACGTGATAGGTTTTCGTATAGCATAGTCTCCGCAAATTTGGTACTTACAAGCTTTTGTGTGCTAAACGTAGGCTCTGCAAATTGCCTAAAGATCGGAGTACAAACTCCAAAGTTATTCAAGAACACATTTCTCACAGTGCGGGGGGCCATGAGATGTGTGATCTATGGAAGGTAATCGGCCTGTTGCCGGGCTGAGGGTATTTTCTAGTCGAGCACTCCCGACTAGAGAACTGTTACTTGTTATTTGCGTTTGTTGTTGTGAACATTTTTATGGCATCATCTAGTTTACGCACATGTGGCAACGCCCTGGAAACGCTGCTGGATTTGATTGCGTCTGGCGAAACGGGTTTTCATTTTCATAGCCACGGGCAATTGGCGAGCACAGCATGGATCCCGACACCCAAGATCAAGATCGGCGTTTCGACTTCTGGTCCGGCCCCCAGCGGCTAGTCTCTAAAAATATGTACACACATGTTGTATGTATGCATGTTTGTATGCATGTATGTATATCGAGATATGTGCTGGAGCCTGATCATAAGCGCGAGTGTTATTTATATATGCCCGGCGCAGATATGTGATGCGGCCATCAAATGAAATATGCACAATATGCATATTGATTAAGATGAGAGCTTCGATTTTTTTTATTTCATTTTTATTATTTTCTTCATATTTTGGCCATTGGCCATTGACTCCTCCAACGGAAGCAACAACAGCTACTCGCAAAATCGCATAATCGCCCGAAATGCTGTTTTCATAATGAGCCACGGGAATTGTGCGCATCCATTTGCATAAATTCACTCAGTTCACAGATGTCAAGTGCCAAAAAGTTGAGGATGCCGCGCAAATATATATTATATAATATAGTCAAGCATAGCAGAAATACATAGCCTGATGAAGATTGGAATGTGCCGAGCTCTACAGCTAATTGAGATGAAAATGTAATGAAATTGAAAATGAATGAAGCTCTTGCATTTGCTTTAAAATCAAATATGAAATTCTTAATTTTCTCAGTATCTGTTCAAGTTAAACAGCTAACTTTTGGGCAGCAGAGCCTTGCTATGTGCAGGTATCCTTGAAGTTATCAAAACCTTAATGTATATAGCTACTAATCTCAGGATCTGTGCGAGCTGGCAAGCTAAAGCTTGGTATGCGGCACTGCTTTTAGTTAATGTACAAGTTTTCCATGCCTCAAAGTGTCTGACAAGCAGATTTCTCGACTTAAACGAAGTATTCCAAATTCATGCTGAGCTTCCCTTTGAGCAGTTCAGCCATAATATTCTTATGCATAGCTGTTGTAGTTAGAGTACAGGTTTAGCGCACTTTCAAGAGCCACAAAATATGCACTGCATTCAAAAGCCAGTCGAGAAGCGTATCAATCAAAGGCTCTGTGGCAAATTGGAGCCTGTTAAGCAGCTGGTTTTTGTGCCCTGTTTGCGCTTGCATTAACTTTTGGCATGTAATTAGGCTTGAACACTTGAATTTTAATTGCCGATGATGGGGCGGGCAACAGAAATCAATAAACCGCCAGACTACCAGGCTTTCTGTCTGTGTCTGCAAATTGAGCGTGAGGCAGCTTTGTGCGGCAGTCGACAGGCAAATTGAAAGCGCAGCCAAGTATGCGATTAAGTGCCCCTGCACAATAAATATTTTTACTTGAGTCGAATTTTTGATGCTCTAAGTGGGATCTTAAGAGTTGTTAAAGCCGAGACAGGCTCAATAGAATATAGGCTTTTGCAAACTGAAGCTAATCAAATTATAATATAATTTATTAAAAGCCTAAATAAATATAGCCTAATCAGCCTCTTATTCAATCACAAAAGTAGCTTATAGAATACTTCCCAAACCGATTGTATGCCTCAAAATCATTTTCAAAGAACTTTGTGAAAATTTATCTGAAACGTGCTGCGCACTTTTCTCAGAGCCCGCAAAGTTTTAAGTTCTATCCGATCGAAGCCCTACACTAAAATTGAATGAATTTAAGTTTCAGCAATTTTGGCAATTTCACCCGCAACTGTGGAAAATTTGAAGGAATTTTAGGCAAAATTTATTGCTTATTATCGGTTTCAAAATTTGTGAGAATTTATTTTCCCGACTGGAGAATGCGTTTCAAAGTTTTAATGAACAAAGTTTTATTTTTCGGCTTCTCACCTTTTGGTTCTTTATTCCATATATATTGTTATGTACTTTCAAATAGTCGTGCAGCTCAAGATAGTATGGGTATATTTAAATTGTTCATGGGCTGAAAAAGTTGCATTTAAAACTTGCCATGGCCAAGGCTGGCAGTATGTTTATATTTTCGATCAGTACGCGAAACGGATGGTTTCAAAAAATATATGAAAAAATGAATTGTTTTAATATCTATCTCATTGAAACTTCCCAATCATGCGCCTCAGTGCATCGAGCTTCTTTTTGGCATTGGTAAAAGTTATTTTTGTGCTCTTCAAACAAAAAATTGTCTTGCGCCTTGAAAAAAATATATTGTAGGGTATGCTGCTGTCGACTCAATGAATTAAATAATTAAATAATTGTCTGGCAAATTAAAATGCACGAAATATTTTTTATTTCGCGTCGAATGCCAAAAAATTGAAAATCATTGCAGGAATTAAGTTGTAAATTAAGCAAATTGCCAAAAGGAGCTCCCCAAGCGCCAAGCGCAGATGTTGTTGTTGTTTAATTGTTGTTTTCCTTTGGCATGCGAAATATATTTTTTGTTGACTTTGTGGCCCTCTGCTTCATTTTTTTTTTTTGATGTTGTGCAATTGACAGGTCCCGATTTACATGTTGCCCCACAAAAAAAAAAAAAAAAAAATGCATTTTGTGCGTGGTTTTTTTTCTTGTCTCTTGCGCAATCGTTTAAATAAAAAAACAGCAGAGCACACGAGGGGGAAGAGTTCGTTTTAGCGCTTGTTTTTATAGAAGGTGCACATATATATATATATATATATATATATATATATATATATATATATATATATT